GCTGTTAAAATGGTTAAACACAGATGATGCTTCTGGCTCCAGCTCCCAAAAGCTATTGTGACCCTTAAGGTCGTGATAATATTCTGAAGAAATATTGACATATGGTGCTATTTCTTTTCTCTGAGCATCTGTTTGATGTTTCTTCAGGCTCAGCATAGTGGGCTCCTGGACCTTTAGTGGGATCTTACACAGGCATACCTAAAAGTAATTGACAAACAGAATATAAAACTGAAACTTTTTTGACAATATCTATTCTTAAAAAACCTACAGGGTCAAAGCATACAAGTTTCATTTTAGGGACAATGTATCTGTTTCTGGTATCAAAACTTTATTCAGAGAAATTGCAGAAGGCTCTGTAGGAATAACTTCTGATCTTAAGGATTTAAAATTGTTTTTAATTCAAGAGCCAGTAATCAAGACTGTGCAGTTACTTATCAGAGCTGGTTAAGAGGCAGCTTTAGCATAATTGGTTATTATCTCTGTGTAGAAAGGGGCTTTGTTCATCTGGCAAAGACATAACAGGGATTAGTGCTGATACTGAAAAAGGCACTTCAGCATTCTGTTAGGGGATCCTAGAAAGACAGCAATCTCTTCCATTATTATGAAGTAGGATTGGATGTATCTTCGTAAATTTTTTTATTGGATTAAACGTGGGAAATCCTGAGCAAAACACATGATAACCAAGGGTAAAGGGTGATGATTTTAGCTACTTGTATTAATTTGTGATGGCTTCTTCTCAATTAAGTCTTTTTCAGTAGAACTAATCAAGTGGGTTTGGTTTTTTTTCTTGGCTGTTGAAGAACACCACACTTGTTTTTCTGAAAAGTACTTTTTATTTTGTTACACAATGAAACTGTTGACAGCTGCTGAGGCTGCTCATTTACATGGCAATCCAATATCTTAAACACCCCCTTAAAAAGAGCATAGTACATGTCATATCCATCATCTGTCAAAACCAAGTAAATAATAAATCTAAATCACTGGCCCTCAGGGAGTACAAAATTGTAAACTTGGAAAAAATCCATTTATTTAAACGTTTGAGGGACTTTGTGTTGAAATTTTAACTTTTTTCGGTAGATGTGTTTGATCTTCAGTAGGATGCAGTTTAAATTTAGCCTCTTGAAGTATAGATGATGCATTATCTTTTGTGTCAAAGATCCTCTGTATCCTTTATGTACCAGAGTACATGAAGACTGCAAGCAGTTGAATATATCTGTTTGGAATTTGAGAGTATGTTGTTAAAAAAACACACACAAAACCCACAAAACCAAGGCAAACCTCTTAAACACCCAAACAACAACAAAGTCTCCCCAAAACAACACCTACTTTTTCAGTGAGGATTATTGCTGCTTTCTACAGGAGGACAGTGTTTTTTAACTCTGATAGCAGTGAGTTTTAAAATCAAACCCAGTATTTCACTGTTTACATATTGTTCTTAACACAGTATGCTCTGAACGTCTGTCTGATAGTGGAATTACTGATTTCAGGGTAAGCACACTTTAAGGGGATGCTCATTTTATGACACCCAAGATACTACTTGATCTGTTTTATTCTGACAAAGTTGTGTTAGGTTGACACCTTCACTTTTGTATTTCTCGTAACTCTCATCTCAGCTGGACATATTTGAAGTTGTTTTAGATGACATTTCAACTAAAATGGGATTCTTTCTTTCAAAACCAAGGTTTCATAGATCAGAAACACTTGCTTTCTCTTCTACCAGTATCCTAAAAAATAAGTAGTGTTGCAAACTATGGTTTGGGTTGGAAGGGACCTTAAAGACCATCTAGTTCCAACTCCCCTGCCATGGGCAGGGACACCTTCCGCTTGAACTTCTTATAACATAAAGCTAAAAAGGATGAATAGATTTCATAGGCTCATCTGAAATTTTACTCTTTTGGTTTTAGTTGAACTGCAGCTGTAAGATTTCATTATTCTGTTTCTCTGTCCTCTGATGGCTAAATTCATCCCTTAAATTCAGAGTAAACTTAATCCTGTGCTCCCAGAGAATGTTTGATCTTCCCATGCATTTGGCAATGGGGCATCTTTGTCACGGCAGGTCTCTCCTGTAGTCTTGTTGAGCTTTGGCTGTTTATCATCCTGCACCCCAAATTGTTCTGCCTTAATGAGTTTCTGTAAGGAGCCCAGGGATTTCAGTAGGTTAGCTAGTCCAAATACTTGTTTCTGGTGAGAGCTCTGGGCAGCACAGAGAAATGGCCATTCCTAAGTTTCTCCAGGGAAGCTCTTGTCACCCCTGTTCTGTGCTAATATTGTGGCCTGTTAATGGTGATCTGAGCCTCTTCAGGGTGTTTGCACAAGCTCTTTCAATGCTGCATTGAGAAATACCTAAAAAAAAAATACTCCTGATGGTAGTTTCATCAAGGGTCATATTAACAAGCTGTGATGTTCAAAAGGGTTTTTTATTCACTTAAGTAACAAGAGAATCAAAGTTAGAGAAAGTATTTATTTATTGAAAACAGGTTATATTTGTGGTTTTTTTTTTTCCCCCGAATTCACAAAATGTGAAATTTTAAATTGGACATTAACTTTTGCAAAATTTGATGGGTTACAATGCTGTCTTCAGAGCTCTTGCCTGGTTTTTTGCAAGTTGTTTCCATTGTAGCTTTGGTGATTGACCTTGTAAAGTATGTAATACCTAGTTTGAGAATACAGTTTTAAATTACGTATTCAAGGGAAAATGTGATATGCAGAGTTTGGCAGTTGTACTTCTACTGATGGGAAAAGTTAGAGGAACACAGTAGTAAAATAAAAATTAAAAGAACGCTGATATTTGAGGTATTTTTGTTGTGGGGTTCTTCTGTCCTCGAAGGCAGTGCAAGAAGTGATACTGACGTAACTTTTTTACTTGTGTGAAAAACGTGCAGATAAATTGATACATGGTACTTCAAATGTGAATGTCACAGAGTAACCAGCAGATCCCTGTGGTCTAAGGGAGCTGCCTTGCCATGTGTGTTAGTTGCTTTCTGAACACACTGCCTTTCTGAGTGAACAGAACTTTACAAGGAACTACTGCTGTTGCTGGTTCTCATGATGGTATTAGTTGGAGGCCAAGCTTTTGAGCCAACATGGAAAGAAGGCAGTAGTAGGTAAAGTTTGAGAGGATTGACTTAATACGGGGGTTAATTTGATTAGCTTTTTCACAGCTGCTTCTATATTCTGTATCTACCTCATAACTTCAAAATTCCAGTCTTGTGGTCACTGGAGTCATCTTCATACAGCATCAGCTTCAGTAACAGAAAAGTGTTTATAATTATTCCTTAGCAATGTGTGCTTCCTCATGTAAATCTGACTTTGGTATCTAAAAGGAGTTACTTGCATATCCTCTTAACAGTATTGCTGGGTTTTGCCCATTTATAAATATATTTCAAATAGAACCTTCTTCTCTTTTGGAACAGCTTTTACCTGCCAAAAAGTTTTGGGAACCTGATGATTCAGCAAAAGATGGACAAAAAGGGATATTCCTTGGTGATGAGTGGAGAGAGGCTGCATGGGGAACTCCTCGTAAGTGATTGGTCTATACGTGTTGAAAAATCAGTCATATTTACTAAATGTTACCTCAAGGTAAATTAATAATAGAAATTTTAATTGTATATTAATTTTATTAATTTTAATTGTGAACGTGTATACTGCAGTGGTGGTTGTGTGCCAATAATACTTTTTGAAACTAAGATCTGGCATTTTTATTTAATTTTGTTATTGTTCAATATTAATATTGCCTCTGTAATGAAATGCAAAAATGTTACAAGTTGGATTTTAAAAATACAATTAGCTTGTTTGTTTGTTTGTTTTTAACAGACCATTCTATGTCCCAACCTATTATGGTACAGAGAAAGCCTGGACAGGGTTTTCATGGAAACAGTGAAGTAAATGCTGTATTGTCTCCACGATCAGAAAGTGGTGGCCTTGGAGTGAGCATGGTAGAATATGTGTTAAGTTCCTCTCCAGCTGATAAATTGGATTCCCGGTTTAGGAAAGGAGCTTTTGTAAGTAATGCAGTGTGTTAAGCTTGCTAGTTACCTACTTACTTTCTTATATGGTTTTATTCTCTGCTCTATTTGTCAATTTTGCTTTTAACCCTGCTCTTTAGAAGGAAGGATGTAGTTGCTATCTGTCTGCCTTCCTTGGTTCGAGGGGGCAGAAGAGGGGAAATGGATTGAGAATCTTGACTAAATTGATGTCTTAAAGTACTTTCTTAACACTTTTAAATAAAGGTAGGAAAAAGACTGCAAATATCTTAATTTAAAATGTGTTTTGGGCTTTATTCTAGATCTTCCTATTCTGTGTTTCCATATGGGTTTGTGTTTTGTACTAGATGTTTTAACTGTGTAAAATAAACCATATCTGATTTGAAGTGTTACTGCTTTAATAGCACCGCTATAGTTAAGGTTGAGTTTGCTCTTCCATTATAAATCCTGGCATTCCTTTTCACATTTTGGCAGTTATTAATTGCACGTGGTTGAAACTTGATGAGCAAGTTACCCACCAAATGCAATTGCATTGAAAACGAACTGTTTGTATTGTTTACGTGCACTGTAGTGTAGAATTAGGTCACCTTGTGGTGCTCCTATTGTGTTCTGTTCAATATTCAGAATCAAACAGATTCTTTTTCCTCAGGGCACTAGAGATGCTGAAACAGATGGACCTGAGAAAGGAGATCAGAAAGGCAAGGCTTCTCCATTTGAGGAGGACAAAAACAGAGATCTTAAACAAGGAGATGATGAGGATGTTACTAAAATAAATGGCAGAGGTTTGCCAAATGGAATGGATGCGGATTGCAAAGATTTTAAGTAAGCTTTTAACTGTTTCTTGAGAAGACGAGCGTTTCTCTTCAGGGCATTACTACAGTTCTGGTTTGTGTGTCAGCTTTAAACGTTACCCAGCTGCAGACTGATGCTTTCTACCTCACGTTCTCCCATTCCCACTGTGCCACATGTTTCTTAGGATGTCATTACTGTATGTGTCACTTCTCATGAGACAGATTCATCTTAATATAGTAATTATTCAGAGTAAATGGGTACCTTAAAATGTGATGAATTAGAGAGGGATGAAAACCTTAACTCTTTCAATTCTAAACTAAATTCCTTTCTCTCTGCTTCTTTTTAAACTTTAACTTTTGCATTTGATTGTTGTTGTAGAGAGTAACTCCTACAGAATCTGGGTTTTCCTTCTAATTTTGCTGGTGGATAACACAGCCTCACACAATCGCTTCCCCACTAGAGTCTTCACAGAAACCATTTATTTGGTAAAGGAGAAACAATGTATTTCCCTATTCACGTAGTTAAATGCCACCTTTTCACAGTATAGAATGGTGTTGTGTGGTTGTTTTCTGAAGGGAAAAAAAATTGGACTAAGCTGAAGCCTTTGAACTGTGAATTAATTTATGACAGCACAGCCAGCCTGTTTTTTCCTAATGCTGAACTGTATTTTAAATTTGCGTATTTTTAAAAGACTAATCTTTGCTTTTGAATGACTGTGGTGCCTTTGTAACTGTCGTCCAGCAGAATTATGATCAGAAAACTAGACTGCTGCTCATAAATTTGTATTAATGTGATGAACGTGACTGAACAGTTGTGGTTTCATTAGTTCATAATTGACCAAGTATATTAAAATGCATGTTGAATCCCATACGTAAGTATTTCCTACCCTTTAAAAAAATGTATTTACCTGAGGCTAAGGAGGGATTCTTACTCTGTTTTTCAAGATGTATTATTGAAAAGAATATAATAGCAAACATAGGAGAGAGCTCAGATTAGCTCCTTTTGGATGCATGCTGCAATATGCACAGTAAACGGTTGCGTTCAATATTATATGTAGAAAATACAGAATAAATCTGTCCTGCTTTTCCTTTGCAAGCAGCTATTTAAAACTTGAAATAGATAACAGTAAAGTACCTTTTGCATTATTTAAAGAGAAATTACTGAAAAATACAGAAGTGCAAAGGAGCATCCAAAGCCCGTGAACCTCTCAAAAAAACCAAAAAAGGCCATGTAATTTAAATGTGCCATATAAAACGGTGGTATAAAGCCCTCCAAACAGAGGTTTATAATCGAAGTATTGACACAACTTTAACTATAGCAACAGAACAGCACCGATATAAGGAGCAACGTATATTAGATAAACAAAAGTATTAACAAAGAAACTTCGTCCTGTCCTTTTTCTTGTATTTTTATTGTACTTACAGCTTTTTCAAACTAAAATATGTACTGAAATAACTGCCTTTTTTTCCTTTTGTTCTTCACTTTGTTGATACTGTATGTCACTTGGGAAGAATAAGGTATATTAACTGGCTTCATACTCAAGTTTTGTATGTTGAGCGAGACACGGTTGCTAGCTAGGATACTTAGATGGTAGCCCATATGTTATAGATGATCGTTGTTACATTAAAAAACTCTGTAACTGCTTTATCTTTGAAGTATTTTGTCGAGAGAAATAGATCATACAGTGATGTTGAATAAACTCACTAAAAGGCTGCTACTAGACATACAGCGTTTAGAGTTGGTATCAGCAAATACATAAATGCAAAGAAATTTGTTAGTACTTACCTTGTGCTTTAGTGAGGAACACACATTTCAACTTTGGAGCCCCCAGGAGAGAGGAGAACAGTTAGTACTTAGTCTTTGAAGTAGCAGTATACGTTACTGATCTGGCAGTGTACTGCTTGAATAAATGGCTTATCCTGCAAGATGGTAGTTTGTATTTGAGCCCAGTTTTCACAAATCAAGCAAGATTAACTGGAAGTTGTATGTTTCCTGGGTAACAACATATCATTGTCAAGTTCTGCCAGCACAATAATGCTGTTAAGGGATCATACTTAGGTTTTTGCTGGTAGAAATTGGTAGTCTAAACAATGTGGCCTGACTTAGTTTTCATCGCCTCTTATAGGAATTTTAACACCTGGAGATGTGTAATGATCTCCATCTTAATTGCTACCAGTCCCTCATATTTGGAAACTGAACTCTCAGGGCCTTGGCATAGTAAACAATTTCCAGCTCCATATCTCTGTCAACAGAAATCAAACACCTATATTTTTCTCTAACCTACAGATTTTCTTCTGGAACCACAGGCTATATTTATTTGTAGGG